TTTCTTATGTGATCTACTTTTAAAAAAAAAAAAAAAAAACAAACCCTTGAAGTGAATGTGTTTTTGCTTGCTGCTTAACGTTTCAATGCATCTCTCTCTTTAATGAATAACTCCTGTACTGTGTGCTTAAGAAATGTTTGATACCTGCCTCATTTGCTCTTGTACACAAATTGCTCATTCAACAGCACAGTTTAGAGATTAATGATGCAGACTTGACTTGTTAATCTGAACAGTGATGAACACAGTCCGTAAAGGTTACTCTTATGTTTGTAAGCTTGATTATTAATAGTGAGGCAGAACTGTTTCTCCCAGATAAAAGCACAAAACTTTGCAGGAGATAAAATACATGGAAAAGAAAAGGCGGTTCTGAGACTTTGACCTGCAACTTTCTGCGTGATTCACGGCTGTGTCTGCCTCTCCGCAGTGGTCAGGAACAAAGAATTTCATTATGAGAGTTTCAATTTATTGGCAAGAATTGTACTTCACCCCATGCATTGCTTAGTTATCTTCCTAACCTCCTGCTGAAGACTTCCATATACACAACTGTTCTGCATAAAAGCCTTTCCTACGTTACCCCTTTCTAGCATCTCTTACATTTTTGAAATACAGTTGACAGAGATTTGGGACTGTTCTGTTATGTTTTCCCTCTCCCTCGCCGCAAGACATCCATGCCTTCTCCCTCCCTCCATTTCTAAAGCACAGACAGTCTCTGTGTCTCTTATCCAGGGTCACGCAGCAAGGAGCACTCTTCATTTCCTCTCGACCTTGTGTTTTAAATAGCAGTCTCAGTGGCACGGGCAAGATCAACAGCATTCAACACCCCGCATAGGAAAGCCTGCTGGTTGTGCTGTTGCATGAAACGCTCTTCGTTACAGTGAACGCTGGAGCTCTGTCGACACTGTTCACACCAGCTGGAGAGCAGCAAAAAGAGGGGCTGCTGTACTGAAGTTAGCACTTCTGTAGAGTGCGATACACTCTTAGTTTGTAACGCTAGAGTACAAGCGCTCCAAGCATCTGCTGAGCTCTGTCACCCCTGCCTTAAGCAAAACAAAGCCTTAGCAAATTTGCAGGTGACCAGAAGATTGGCAGACGTGGCAAACGATGGTGAGGACTGGGCAGTCCTACGAAGTAGTCTAGTAAACTACTGCATACAACCAATGCAAAAGACAAAAATTTAAGCCACCGCTGCAGGAACAGGGCAGGAGTCTTGATCCTGGAAACAGTGAGACTGATAAATTGTAGGGGTCACAGTGGACAGGCTGTACGTAAGCTCCTAAGACTATCCTGGGCCATAAAGGGCATGTAAGATCTTTGAACGTTTTAGCAGGGTAGCAGCAAGTAGGAGCAGGGATGTGATTCTTACCTCTGTGCGGGGCCTTGATAATCCCAGTAATGGGATCCTGCACCAAGTTCTGGCATCCACATTTTAAGAAAGATGGGGGAAATTTGGAAGGGGTGTGGACAAGAGCTGCAGAAATGGTTAGAAGTCTGACAGAGCTGCATTATAGTGAACAGCCTTAACCTTGAATGATTTTAGCTGATTAAAATAGATCGCGAGGTGACTAAATTATAGATGAAGCACCGTCACAAGAAGAAAACACTGGGTATGAATGCATTCTTAGTCCAGCAGAAGAAAAAACAAGGACCACGGACTAGAAGCTGAAGCCAGGCACCTTCAACTTTAAAATCACCAGTGAGGGTACTTTTACCACTGGAATAAATTCTGAAGAAATGGAGGAGTCTCTGTCTTTTGATATCCTACAATTAAGATCGAATGACTAAGATCAAAGTCCAATTAGCCTTGATTGTTCTGAGACAAAGTGTTCATTCAAATATTGCACCGGTACTTAATGCAGGACATTGATCTTGGTTGTCTGTAAGGTCCGGATTTGGGGTGGCACAAAACTCCGTGATGCGAATCAAACCAGTTGTCTTCTTTTACCCAGAGTCTCTAAAAAGCCTCTCCTCTTTCCATCAGAAGCTGCAGCTCCATCTGTTGTTCACAAAATGGATGCAAGCCTGAGAGACCTTCGTTTGTTGGAGCAGTGTGTTTTAACTCGGGTGTTGTCTGTGATGCAATTCTGCAGCCGTGTAGATGGCCACCTAACTGTCCTTACTGGACTGGGCTGCACAATGGTCCTCCCAGCTCTCAGCTTGAGTCTAAACTAGGAACTCAGTCTCCAGTTTTAAGGCACGTAAAGGTCGCCTGCAAAACGTGAACCGAGCGCAGAGGTGTCGTGAAAACAGAGCATTTAAAAGAAGCTCCTGAGAGAGATGTGCGCTGTCCCTTCATCCCGACAGCACTTGAACTCGGATGTAATTCCTTAAACTGGGAATAGCTAACACAACGGCATTTAGCAGCACGTCGGGTTAATATGCTTATTATCCATCACCGTCAAATGCCGTCACAGTAGGATACAGCACAGTGGGGCAGCAGGGTGCTGTAAAAGTTTTCAGGGATGGGGAATAAGGAATTTCCTCCTCTGTCTCCTCCTCCTCCTGCAGCTGCCTGAGAAATATTAGTCACGTTTTCCCCTACTCAAAAGATGCATCTCTCCCACCAAGCCAGAAGCCTGTACTGCCGCTTCCTTTTTTTTTTTAAAAAAAAAAAAAAAAAAAAGCCTCCTCTTATACCATCTTCAGGTCCATGTACGACCTTACCCAGCTGCCGTCATCTTCTGTTTTCCCCCCGACCTGTTCTGGGCTGAAGTGTATTACAAAATGACACCTGGATGCAATATAAAATAATTGAATTGTTAAATCCACGCTTGCAGCCAATGCAGCGTTGATTGGCCCATATTGGGACAGAGCGGCCGTTGAGCAGCGAGTGCGGGGAAAGCTCGCGTGGGCAGAGCCGCACCATTCTTGGGGTCCAGCCACATAGCGTAGGCTTCCCCACCTGCACGAGGTCTTGCTTGTCCAGCACGATCCCTTGGGCCAGAACAGGCTGCTGCAAAGTGTCCCATTATCTAACTCTCCACTGTCTTTGGGGCCCCGCACAGCTGCAAATACTTTGCAACTAACAATTGGAGCTCATGACGCACATTTGCTTGGCTTTCGTTTCTCATATTCCAGTCCTTACCGGAGCATCATGCTGCTTCTGAGCATTGCTGGTTTTGGAGGCAGTAAAGCATTATCCTGTGTAACTCGCTGAACTAATAAGTTCAAGTGAAGCTGTTGGAGAGAGAAAGGAGTAAAAACTAAAATATGTCAGAGGTGGTGCTGGCTGTTCCTACATCTGGATTGGGAGTTACCGGGTTACAAATGGGACTGGTTGGGGATACTGCTATAAGTAGCCTGCATTTTCCAAGAGTTTCATTAGTTCAGTTATTCCTCACTCCTAAGACTCCCCAGTTTGCTCCATGGGAGCCAAAAGGTTTGCACTCAGACAGGTCCAAAACCAAAGTATATTGAGTTAGGCATTGAATTTATTTAAAAGACAAAAGGGGAGGGGGAGGATTGCAGAAAGGGCTGCAATGAAATGTGATGCTCTTTCACTTTTAAAAGGCATCAAAATCCAGAGCACTAAATTCCACCCTCAGAGCTGAGGCTGCCTATTTTATCCAGCCATTCTGGGGGGAACTTACTTTCAACCTTAGGGGGAAAAAAAAGAAATTAAATTTTGCAGCCACAGCTATTAATGTCTTATCTCTGCTTTAACTTACCAGGAAATTTAATTGAAGTAATTTCATTTTTATTTCATTCAATGCCATAAAATGCAACTCAAAAGCATACTAAAATTCACAGCATTAGATTCCCTTAAATATTTCAAAGGGGCACTTGTGTTTATTTAAAATAAATGTTTCAGCCTTCCTCCATAATTAGACTTTCCCGCTGTTGGTAGTAGGCTCATTACTGTGGCCATCAGCTTTTGCTGAAATGTGTCATAAAATGGTAATGGTAACGTGGGGCACCTCTGCCCTAAAAACAGCTGTTCAAAGCACTGTTTGTTCCCTTCAAATTTTAAACATGCTCAGATTTAACAAGTCATTCATTGTCAGTTTTGGAAAGCTAAAGATGCAGTATCTCTCTGCTTTGTATTGTACAGACAGGCTACCATATTTCTTTGCATACAACGCACCACAGAATTGAACACACACCTAGAT